ACTACAACTACAACTTCTACTACTACTACTTCTACTACCACTACGACGACTATTGCTACTTCTTCTGATCCTCGTCGACGACTGATACTGGGCTGCTACTGCTACTACTACTGCCACTACCACTGCTACTACTCCTGCTGCTGCTACTACGACGACGCGCTACGGCTACTACTATGTCTACTTCTACTTGTACTTCTGTTATCTTCTGTTACTCTGACGACGACGGCGACGACGACTACTACTACGCTGTAACATGAAAAGAGTTTGAACCTGAGTCTGGTACACGAACAAACCTGAAAGGCTGCTGAATTTGCAACTAACCATAGATGACGCGGAAGATGATTCAGGTACGGCGCAGTACTTGCCGGGTGCTTAGCTGGAGTGGGCGCTGCCTTCCTCGCGCACGCCTTGAACTCCATTACCAGCGGCATAGTTGACGAAGAGGAGGTGCCTGAAAGCATTTTGCCTTCGTCGCCCAGCCGGGGTAGCGATGCTTCGTTATGGCTTAAAAAAGTTCGCAGAGAAGACTAAACATCGCAACAGGGCAGTGAAAAGGCGTTTCGCTTTTCCCGGACGTTTGAAGTTCCGCCAGGATTATGTCGCCTGGAATGTCATCTCAGCTGCCTTCTCTTTGATTTGGTCTATGGCTGAAATGGTGGTTTGCTGTATTGCAGCCCTCGTGGCAGCGGTGAGGACCGAATGCAATCTCGGGATGTGTGGGGCTTGCTGTTGACAAGTCTTCATGTGCCACGTGTTTACCATTCACAATGCTCTTAGCTGTCGCTTCTGGCATCGACGGTTCATCGACAGCTGGGTTTCCAGGAGTGTGTTGCTTCGTGCCAGGGAACACGTGGATGTTTGTTTCGTTGTCCTGCTTTCTAATTCTAAAGTCGAAGCTACATGCCTGCTAGGCCCTGCAGGCGCTGTCGACTGACCAGTCATGCAAGCCGTCAAGCGAATCCGGTTCGCTTGGTGTTTTTGAGACTATGGGATTGTCACTCCACATTTGTCACTCCCACCTTGGAGTGGACACGGTTTTTGGTTTTCTGCCGCATGCAGGATGACTCGCATTTGTGGCATCAATCTGGTGCCCATGGACAAAGAGCGTGCCATGCTGGCAGGCATTTTGAGCACCGGCTTTCTTCTGCTCTCTTCTTCCGGGGTGTCGGACAGACACGGCCTGGTGCTCAATGTACATCAAGATATCATGTAATCTGAGAGGACGCATGTGCATGCGACCAATGTTGCTATCTTTGCACTTCCAGCAGAACGGTAATAGGTTTGATAAACTCAGCGAGCGCACCTGCTCTTGTTACACACCTGTGCCTTTGCGCTACCGCTGCCAGCAGAAGAGCAAGAAGCAGCAGCAGCAGAAGTAGCAGTACAGTGCATCTGCTGGATAAGACATGCCAGCTCCCAGCGTCATTTCTTAATGTCCCTTTAGTTTTGCATTTCCACATGTCCCATCTCCCGAATCGTTGGGTGCCCTTCATTTCGTGCTCATTTCTTAGCCAGCGCTCGAGCCCATACCAGCAGGACCGTGTTCTACAACGCTTTAGTGATTAGATGCAACTGCCAGCACTTTTGTCCCCTGGACTGAGGGCCTATAAACCACCAAAATAAGAAAGGTCGCCCCCTACATTTCTTACTTCGGGCCTCTGCCTCGTGCCTCAGGCTTAGGGCCTGGGAACCACCAGAATAAGAAAAGCGGGCCCCCTACATTTCTTATTTCAGCTCTGCCCTGTGCCCTAGGTTTAGGACGTAAACACCGCTCAAAATAAGAAACGTAGCCCCCCTACATGTCTTATTTCAGGCGTTTGCGGAGTTGAGACCGAATTCAGAAAACCACCCACTCAGCCAAATAAGAAATGACACCAAAACGTTGGGTACCCCTACAGCCAGAACTCAACCAATTACAACTCCAAGCAACACCGTTGCAGATGTTGTGGCGGTACTAGTGGTAGTGACTGGTAGTGTTGATAGAAGTAGTAGGAGTAGTAGGAGTAGTAGGAGTAGGAGTAGGAGTAGGAGTAGGAGTAGGAGTAGTAGTTGTTGTTGTCGTCGTCGTAGTAGTAGTAGTAGTAATACTAATGATAGCAGCATCTGCCTGTAGAAGTAGCAACCATATGGCTGCAGCGGCCTCTAAACACGGTGAATCCTGGGCTCGTGTGGTGTAATTGAGGTGGTTTTTCACTTAGTTTCGGCGATCGTTGTTCTATTGAGGCGGGCAATCTGCAAGTCTTTTTGACGACAGCTAAACCGAGACAGAATCGACTCTGGCAGCTGAAGTTGATGTTGGCGATCACCTGACACCAAAACAAACTTGGAGCGGCAACCTCTGCTGCAAAGGCTAGAGCCCTACGTCCCATCCTTTCCGATGTGACAGTTCTACGAACCGAAGCAAGTTTATCCACCCTGCATGAATTTGGGACGGGAAACAGGCCTAGCCATCATTGACTGTCACAGATTGTTTAGTCGAGTGAGACAGTCTTCGCGCTGCACCGCTTGTGCTACTCGCTCCATGCAGGTTCCCTGGCACGGTGCGCTCTGGAGCTTGGTCACCCCAGCTTGCGAACTTTCGGGATCAACCCTTACAAGCGGGTCAACAAGTGCTTTGGCAGAATTGGGGGCAACTCTGCTCACTCTCCAAGCATAATTTGGGGGGCCGAATGAATTGGAGCGAGTTGGAGCTGCTAGCGGAGACACAGAAAGCAGTCTGGGGCTTCTTGTGCTTTCCATGACAAAGGTGTGAATTCATCAGCAGACGACGGTTTTCTGAACAGGTAGACAGTACTCAGTGCTTGGCGCTCAGTCTGCAAGTCGCGGGGGAAGCGGGGTTTAGGGGAACATCCACAGGAGCAGTGCGCGCGGAGCCACGAGTCTTCGTACAAGAACTCTCATCTCCGTCCTAGCCGTCTCTGCCACTAGGCATGCTCAGGTATCTGCTGTTGGTTTATGCCCTCATCTACATGGGCAGTCGCGGTATTACAAAGTTCTTCATCAAGCTCCTCGTCAAGAAGGTGGCCCCGCGAACATTCGTCAAGGCTGCCGACATGGCGCCCTTGGTGATTGAGGTGGGAGTTTATCGAAACTAGGCCCGTCCCAGCGTTTTCTGGGTGTTGTGCAGATAATAGTAAAGTGTCTTGCAGCGTCCAAGACTTTGTGGAACAGAGCTTGGAGCCATTTGCCTTTCATCTGCAGCGCATATTGAGAAGTCGCCAGGTCCTCATCAATGTCCTTTTCAACTTCATCACTGTCAGGCACCATCGCAGAAACCCTTTGGGCCGGTGAAACGGGTCAATTGCCGTTGAGAAAGCCCGAAGACCCGCCTTGACGGACAAAGCTGTGGCAATCGTGAGAGCTTTCGGTTCCGTGATCGTGTGATCCTCAACCGGCTTCCAAGGTATGCCATGAGTGAGGTTATGATCTGCTCAATTGGCCCATCTGCGACAGTGGAGGTGGGTGGTTATGTATCCACGGAAGAGGCATGCAGTAACTGCCAAGATTGCTGCGGCAGTGCAGCAAGCCAACCAAGTCATCATCGAATGTAAGACAACTGAAAGTAACCTTGCCGTTTGTCAACCCTGGTTTCTACGCACTGCCGCTTCTTGCTGCTAAGACATACTAAATTCCGCTCGGAATACAAGTGCTTGCGCCAGTACTTCTCCCAGAACTATTAGCAGCCGCAGCAGCAGCAGCAG